GAGAGGGCGCAGAAACAATGCAAGGACAGAACATATTGTATGGGGCTTTGTCATGACATGCCCTCATTAACAGATAAAAATGTTGCTAACACAGTTTATTTCACAACAAATACAGACCTCTACTAGCTCTGTACAATTAACAGAAGTCATAACTTACGAACACCACTCCATATTTACAAGACTGAATTCTGCATTTTGTACCACTCAAACGGGGCACATTCCATTCCATTACGATGAACTTCACACCACTCAGCACAAAGTTTCCAAGAAATGGATCTGAACAAAGATAAACCCTTATCCAAACCACAAATCCCTGAACCAAAAACACACTGTAAAAAGCTTTCACCATCAGGTGGCAGTACTCGCTAAACTACACAAATCTCCCTGCATCAGGCTGTCAGAGTCTCACTGAGCTGCGCTCTCGCCTCAATGCGTTTCTTTCGTTGGAGCAATCGACGTTCACGTTCAAACTCCTTCATTCTTAAAATGTAGCTGCAAAGAAGATACAACTTCTTATAGAGGAAAATACACTGTAAAGTTAGCAGTAAGGTAGTGGGTAATGAAAGACTTGGTGTAGTTCAACAGGCATGTGGAACCAGATGAAAACTTTGACCAAAACTGTTGGACGCCTTAATATAACTGTGCTCGCACAACATTCTTCTTGCCACATCAAAAACATAGGTCAGACAGTATCAAATAAGTAAATAAATGAAGAACTAAAAATGACACAGAAGGAAGATAACACCCTGTATTTTCCTAGAATGACTTACAAGAACAACACAGAAACACATCCTGAACACATTCGAAACAGGAATGCTAGCCAATGTGGGAGTTCCTGCTCTAAGCCAAGCACTCCACAATCTGAAAACGTACCCTGCATTAACATCACCACAGTTACCAGTACTGCAAAGTTCAGATGGGACACAGTACCAACCCCCAAATGTCAATGCAGATATACATAACCAAATCAAAGGTCTATGTATTGGCAAAGTTTAACCAGCATGTTCAATAAGAGAGACAATACCAGTTTAAGCATAGACATACATTTAACATATCTGAATCCTTTTCTGTTGAACTAAAACACTAAAAATGCTACCAGTGTAAGTCAACACAAAATTTATTTTCGCATTTCTCTGATCGTGTATCAATCGTATGTCACTCCTGGCCGAAAACTAGCAACATATTGATGAAATATAAATGCACATTACTCACTCTTCATATTCGCACTGCAGGTATTCATGCTTCTCATGCTCACACCGCCAAAGCCAGGGGGCATTGTCTACTCTGCAGGCACGGTATTTCAACAAAATATGCGCACAGAAGTCTCGATCCTCAAGCGGAAGTTTCCCCGATTCCATCTCCTCCAATGTAGCTACCATCACTACAAACCATCACAGCGCAATTTATGCATGGCTACATAGTAGATATGGTCAAGTGGTTGCTTTGTTTATGAAGTCTTCCCTTTCCTGGCTAATGAACACGGAACTATAAAAATTTAAGTTTTGTGTACATAACGTTAACAACCGATAACCCACCAGATGCGTAAAGCATGTAAGAAATCCTTTACCTCTTTCCTTTCTGCCATTTGGAAAACCATACATAGGATCGAACGACGGTCCTTTTAGCGGATGTGGAGTTCCTTCCGGATCAGTATATGCAGCCCAAGCATTCCCCATTATTTGATAAATCAACTGAATCTTCTTACAACGAATAATACGTCTACAGTTATGAAAAGCACAAAACCATTTGCCTATACGACAGAAAGAAAAAAAGAAACTAATTTATTTGGTCACCTCCACTACCAACATGACAAACAAAGTATTACCACAACGCTCATGACACAGGAACAGTCATGTTACCGATATCACCCGCCACTCCGCAACAAAGCGCTAGTGTAACCCCACTCAATAAAGATAAAACTGTCACTTTTAGGGTCAGAATGATTTTGTACGTCTTAATTGAACTTACTGGTGAACAAGATTTTCTTGAACATTACAGCAGTGCAATCAGGCACGCATAACATGGAGTCATATGAGCATTTTGGAGTAATTGCAAGAGGGTCCTTCGGGTAAGTTATTCAGCTGAAAGTATTTTCAACTGGTAATTTTGCATTTACATTCAGTTCCGTATCTGGCAGATAAAGTTACAGTTAGAATCACCAGTCTTCACGTTACTACCACTAAACGTCGTTAAAAGAGACGTAAACTACCGTTTTCAATTAGTTTGTACTGAAGACCGCATGTTAGCAGTCTGGACATTCCGGTTACAGCGTCTTTCCTCAATCATATTCGAAACTGCAAGTCTCGGTCCACAGCTAGTACAAAAAAAAAAATCGTGAAATACGTCACTTATATCAACAATTATGGAATAATTTAATTCTACCTCATTAAATACATCAATACGTCGGAATAATATTATTTCGCCAATAAAACAGGTATTTTTGACGCGTCAACGTTGTAAGAATCGGATGTGTCACGTACCTTCACCGAACAAAAAGTACCTTCCGAGGTATATAACTATGAGAACACACAAGCTCTCTCCCCCCATTCCCCTTAAATATAATTATATAAAATGCGACTAATAATTCGGCTGGCTTTCAAATGTGAATTAGATGGTTCAAATCCTGACTGGATACTCTTCTGTGTTGTTTCCAAACAATCTCCAACCACCACATTGTAGAAAAACTTTTATTTTAAAAACTTCTGCCTACCGTACATATTTATGTAGAAATATTTATTTTACATAACTAACTATTTTGCTCTGGTGCACATGATACCCACAAGGAAAACAAATTCCTACAAAACCCTGATGCAAAATACAGAAAGGAAGGACCACTTGCAAGACCCAGGCATAGATAGGATGATAATAAAGAAATGGGTCTTATAGAAATATACTTTTGAATTCTGAATGATTCTAGAAGAAACAAAAAATTATAGTACAATAAAAAGGCCTATACTACAGAAGCATTGCCATAAATAAAGTCTATATAATCTATATTTGTTTTTTTTCAACATAAGATTTATCTGTGTATTGCTGACTTACCTTCTCATGCACAAAAGAAAGTGGAGAAAACTGCAAAATAATTTATGTACTTATCACTACTGTAACTATAAAATACATAAACCTGGCGGTGATGGCACTTCATGTTCTAACTAAAATAACATTCTCTTGTTTAGGACTGTTGATTTATATAAATGGAAAGATGAAAGACTTGTGGTATTCAAGAAAATTTCCCTGGACAACATGACAGAGCATGAAGAAGAGGTATGATTAGTCATATGGAACTGATTACACTTTAAGCAGAACATAAAATTGCAAATATTTTCAGGGTAAGAATTCACATTCCTAAAGAAATAATTGAGTCTATCAGTACATATGCTTGTGAAACTTGTAACACAAAACATATAATCATGGCGTTAAACTACCAAAACATGTAATGAAGTTTTGTAAGGCTGTCATGCAATTAAGCATCTACATTTCAGGAAATAATTTTAATCAACTTTTAGGAATACACATGACAAAAATGAAGAAATGCGGAAAGAAGACTGTATGTCCTCCTGATGTTTTAATACAAATGAACCACTCAATAAAACATTTACTGCACGTCTCAACATCAATCCACAAGTCAGTTCACAGCCAGACAAAACATCACTTCATCACCTTAAAAATGTTATAAATTGTCACTTATTGCATTTTTCCTTACCTCTCTGACCAGATGGCTTACAAGGAAGCTGAACTGATGTCACAATTAAACCACCCCAACATAATTTATCTGCACGAGTGCTTCGTCAGTAATAGAGTTCTGTGCATTGTTATGGAATATGCAATGGGAGGCACACTAGACGAGTTCCTGCGGAAGAAAGACGGCATATTAATGGAACAGGTTGTACGTATGCCACTCTGACAGGAAGCCATCTTAACCTACTTTATTCTCTTTGAATGGCCAAAGAAATTCCCCCTGCCCCAAATCTGAATATCTGGCTCTCTGACAGTATGATAGACTTACCACTTAACTATGTTTTTCTAAATCTGTTCATTCTATCATTTAGAGAGGTCAGCACAAAGGACAGTGTCCATCAGATATTGAGATATCAATTCAGTGAGATTCATGTTCTAAATATAACCACAGATAGTCCCACACTGAGAATTTTGTGCATTCCTCCACACAAAATGAGCAAGCAGCTTTCAAGAGATATAATGTATCCTATCCTGAGCCAGTACAATTAAAACTTGCATGTTTTGATGCTAACCCTATTAAAAATCTGAATGTGCCAGTTTTCCGTCTGTAATCAATGCCATTACATCTATACAAATCGAAAGCTCTCTTGATTCCAAATTACCTTCATCCCTCTTGGGTTCAAGTACAAACAAAATGTTTAAATTACTTTTAACATTATTAATGTTGACATTTTTGAAAGTACTGAATTTTCAGGAAGTTGTGTACATGTTCAGCCAGATGGTGCTTGGGTTGCACTACATCCATCAGCAAGGGGTGTTGCACCGAGACCTCAAGCCTTCAAACATATTACTGAAACCAGTAGGGGTAGAGATTGTGATCAAGATCGCTGACTTTGGGATCTCAAAAATACTCGAGAGGTGAGGTGATTGAGCACATGTATTTTAACTCTATCAGAGTGCTTCTTGAGAAGCTGATAGTTGCTCAGCATATCATGAATTGACTTTTGTGGAAACCAAAGGTTTACTTAATACTGCCCCTGAGCAGTATAGTATATCTACTGTTGATCTAGGCCAGCAGTCTAGGAATCTGATGTAAAATGTTATCACATGCAGTAGGAAGACAAAATTATCCTCCGTGTTGGGAACCCCAAGCTACCTGGCACCAGAACTCTGTGAGGGTCAGCCTTACAACAAGAGCACTGACATCTGGGCACTAGGTTGTGTTCTGTGTGAAATGATGACTCTGAAGAAAGCATTTGGGGCTGATGTAAGTATCAACATGACACCGCTTCATTAAATGGTGTAGTGTCTCTTCATACAGGATAGACAGATAAATTTGGAAAATGCAGGAACTTTATAATTATACTCCCATCATACTATAATGTCAGGGAATATCAAACCAGGTGGTTAAATGGTTAAAACTGCTACGATAGAGATGGAGGATTCTGGCAGGAAATGCTTACAATAGTACCATTTGGGGGCCTGAGACAGACAAGGGAGAAAAATATTAAAAAGGGGATGATGCCAAAAGATGATATGAGTGACAGTGAAGTGCATGAACAGCATTTACAGAGTCCAGCACTTTACAATTCAAGGTCAGGGTAACTCAGACAGTACAGTGTCTGTCTACAGACTGGACAACCAGTATTCAATCTTTGCAGTAGCAAAGGTTTTTGCTTCTAGCCTCTGCGTCAAGACTGGGGAACTGTGTACTGTATAAAAATAATATTATTACTGAATGGAAGTATTTCTCATTTATCCCCCAAATAAATCACATTGACACACACAGACAGCAATTTAACTGCATGTGGTGCAGAGGAAACTTAATTAAAAAAATTTGGGTTAACCTGATGAGTAGTCTTCATTTGTTAAACTGTCAAGTTTAAAATAACCAGTGCAGCTAGGCCAACTTTAAGATTTTTAACCAATTATAATTTATAACTGACAATACTGATTCTGTTGGCAGACATTAGGATCAGTTGTAAGAAAAATTCTTCAATGCCAGTTCCCACAACCTAGAGCAGACATATATGGGCAACACCTACGATACCTGCTGTATCAGCTACTACGTGCAGATCCTGTGCAGCGTCCTATGACAGAGATGATCTTGGCTGATGTGGCAATTGCCGAGATGTGTCAAAAACTGAAGCTGAACCTGGGACTAGTTCCTGAAAAGAAGCCGTTAATTCTACCCACTACAGCATTTAATTAACCCTGAGCAGATAAGAAAAAAGATGGAACCTTGTGTGTTAAAACATTTAGAAATGTCACAAACATGTTTGAAACAATATGTCTGGTATGCTCCTGTTTCTCAAACTATAACAAAAGAACATTTTCATATTTTTTGGAAGCTGCACCTTTCTCACATCAAGTACTTCAACTGCAAGTGAAGTAATGCTCATTCTCAGCACAAAGCTATGAATGTGACTGTTCCTACTTACGACCTAGAGATAATGGTGTTTTATATGCATGCATGTTTTGTACCTTAGTTCTTTATGTCGGCTTCAAATGCTGATTTTCAATATATGTACAAACTATCAAAATACTGTGTATGTTTGAGGATGTTCATTGCATTACTGTAGTTCACTTTCAGACATGAGTGACCAAGCCTTAAACAACATGCACTGCCAATACTTGATTTTCTGATGTTCATTTTCCCATAAATACCATAAACAAAAACTCAAGTCATATTAAACACTAGTAACAAGGTAAAATTCTATCAGACAAACAATTTTACCAAGTCTTGCAGATTACATTAGGGCTGTCAACATGGCTCAGCTTTCTCTTAACTTAATACTATTAATTCTACCATTCTGCATTTGAACTCAGGTGTTCATAAGCACAGATGTCACTAGCAGCCTATAATGTCAGTGCTGTTTTCTCAATTCCTCCTGGGAGCTGTACCCGAAGCAAGAACAGTGACCAGGACTCTGCATATTTCTGACAGAATGGCAGCTTAATGTCGGCTCTGAACCATTTAAGGGCCAGAACTTTGCAAAAAGCCCAATGCCCTGCAGTGTTCACTGTGGGACCAACATATCACATCCCTTCATTTTGTAGGTTTGTGGAGACTTCCAGCTGAGCTACTTTCAGATCTCCAAATACTGCTCCATGGCATTATTGAGCGTCACGAGCGCTTCATGACGTTGCCAAAGAATAGTACAGTCGGTACTCCGTGACACGGTGCAACATGGCAAGACTGGGAGTCTGCAGAATTACAGAACAGACAAATGGGAGTGAAAATCTGAATCACTGGAAAGTGGAATAAGGCACTTTCACCATTCGTCTTGAAGACCTGGAAATGCTTTAATGAAAGATGCATTTGTAAAAGCAAATTGGTTGCCTTGTGCTCTCTGTAACTAGCCCAACATTTTAATATTCCACAAAGCATAAAGTCTTTTATATCCAGTCTATTTTCACTCACAAAATGTCCCCAGACTAATCAAGTTCTCTGTATTCAGATTTAATGTCTTTAGTCTGGGTATATGCTACTGCACTTTTATTTATGCTAAAGTTTTTTGTTTAAATGTTGGATCAGTTACACGGGCCTGAAAGCACGAATGCTCAGTCACTTAAATAAAAGAAGGCTGTGGCATCATTCAGCTGCAGAACTGCAACAGAGTTCCACTAAAATTCCTGTATGATTCCATAATCATCTTTGCAACAGAGTTCCACTAAAATTCCTGTAAGCACTGAAAATGATTCCATAATCATCTTCGCTACCAATTGTGTTCACATTTCTTGTAAAAGAAAAAATGAACCCATAAATATGCTTCTCAGCCTATTTTGAATTTGAAAGAAACAAATTTGTTTCAGAGATTTATTTTTAAGTGTTTGTATTACAAAGTGCTTAATCATATAAACAAAGTAGTAGTATTTTTAATTCTGTTCTTATCAGTTTCTCCATTCATTTCAGATGTAACACCAATTAGCGATACAGCAACACTTACCAACACTGTGTAGAGGAAAGCAAACATTCGTATCTTATAACTGCCAATTTGCCTGGTTACACACCCTTGTTATCGTCACTGAAAACAAATTTCATTCAGATGCAGTCTTTCAGCTTGAGTATGCAGACTGCATAAAATTCTGGAGGGAAATGTTATAATAAACATGTGCGAGGTAATGAACGCACATTCCTCAACACATGGGGTTTGGTTCACATGGTAGCATAGCTGTGCTTGAGTAGACTTAAATTCTGATCATCAAGAATCACCTTTCTTTCATCAAAACAACCCACAACAAACTGAAATGCTTTGTCTGCACAAAGAAATAACTGATAATTTTTTAAAGACACGAACTTCACCAAATCTGCATGTTTACGTTCAAGAAGTTGAAAATGACGATAGTACTAAAGACCAAAGTAGAAGCACAAGGACAGACTGACACCTACAGCTCAACTTACACGTCAAGTAGAAGCACAAGGACAGACTGACACTTATGGCTCAACTTACACGTTTAACACATTTCCGTCACTCATCCATCCCAGTGTATACACTACAGAAACCGGCAGTTCACTTCCCATTCAGCGTAGGTCCAGTCGTCTCCATTGCATCATCATCCTCTTCCACCTCCTCCTCTTCCACCAGGGAAGCTGCCAAAAATGAGGGGAAAATTTGATTTCACTTGCATGATTCTCCTCTCACTGTGGTGCCCTATTACAGAGTGATTAATAGTTGGCTTCAGACATGAACATGGCATGCATCATCATGCCCCACTACGCACTCTCTGCAAGTGGATCTAGACTGTCTTTATGGATAATGAAGCAAAGTCTCGGAAGACTGAACAAATATAACAAAGCACTGGACAATGGTTTAGTTCATTCAGGTGGCAATCCTAAAAAGTACGTGGAACAAAAAGAAAAAATGAAATATGTTGCCACCAGACAATCAGGATCTTAATAATTTGTTCAATAAAATCGTCATCTCACGATTCTCCTGTCTTTGACAGGGCCAAGCCTACTATGGGCTGGGGGGTAAGGGATGTATCACCATGTTCACGTGTTCTGTTATTAGGAGCACGGAGGCTCCGGCCGCATAAGCCAGCCACTCAGCTCCAAAACTGAGAATGAATGGAGCTTTATCTCCGTTTCCTCTATAGCTGCTGATACTCACCCTTGCTGTTGCTTTTGCTTCTGCCTGGTATCTGACCAGACTGCAGTAACCGGTTTAATCTTTCCACTTCTTCCAACGAGCTGGCCTTGGAAATTGCCTCACGAATCTTCCAAAGTTCCTCCTGAGACGGCCCTGTCACATTAAGCATATGGCTGCTTGGATGGGAGACACTTACAGAAAACATGCAAAATTATGCTAGAACTGACTTCATGCAGGCTATGAATATATGGATTAATATCTTGGCATATAAATTTGAGCTGTACAAGATGCTTGCTACCTGCTACACTAGAATCGCTTCACATGTTACTGACAAATCTGTTCATGATCACACAATCACAGTCTTGCATCAAGTCTCACTGCCTTCTATATCATTTAATCCAACTTATCCTTTCTGCGAGTACTTTGTATGCCACAATGCAATTACTGTAGTAGGGATCCTGTTACTTACACATTGGGTGCAAACAAACATGCGAAATGGTAACGTTCTAGGGCTTCCTGTTTTACAACAGGAAGTAGTAACTAACAAAACGGAACTTAAATATGAACGCATAACAGCGCTCCATTCATTAACCAACAACAATGCACCTGATGGCTTGGCTGTGTCAGGCAGACCTGCTCCGGGGACGAATGTCTTGGACTTCTTTGCGATCTCCTTCTGCAACTCCTTGCCTTTCTTGCTTTTGAAAAGTGCAATTGCATCTTCCCTCTCCTGTGACATTAAGCAGAATAAGCTGATGTGTGCAGGAAATACTGAAAGTCTTGCTTGTTAAAGAATAAGTTTGCCTTTCAGCCTTAGAACAGTGAACAAATGAATAAACAGTTTTTGTATTACGAATTGCTTCAGAGTTTATTCCGGATTCCTGGTCTCTTTTCACTCGATCAATTCAACTTGAAGCTTAAACTTAACCAGTAGCATTTCAGCCTCACCAGATGTAATTGCGATGACTCGGTGAGATCGCCTTGCCTGAACAACATACGTAATGGTATTACTGCCACGACTCACTTTTAGCACGAGACTGATCAAGATTTATCGAGAAAATAGAGCAGAACGACACAGGCAATATTGATCAGGGCAGTTCAGTCCATCGTTGGTCTTTTGTCAAAATGGTGCTCTTACAATTAGGAATCACTGACCTTCAATTTTATTTTACGGAAGTCCAGCAAGCGGAGGTGAGGCAGTTTGAAAGCAACGTACAGGCGGTAGTGTTGCCTTGTCGTGACTGGGTTATGGAGGAGGCTCAATGTACGCAGAGACTTAATATTAGCAAGAGGATCAAGGTCTGCCAATTCTTGAATCAAGTTTCCAGTCAGTACCAACGTTTCTAAGTTCGGTAAACACAATTCCAAACCTTCTGCGATCCTCCTGGAAATGGAAGCCACGTGCAGTGTTATATATATAAAATCAAATATTATGGTTATCAACAAATCAGACAACTATTTACTGCTGACTGATCTGTTCACAGAAATAAGCACATCAGATACGTTCTGCAGTCACACAAGAAGTGAGTGAGTGCAGCACAAGGAACTAAGCAAGAAAAAACATATCAGGATTATTAACGGTTACAAACTTTAAACAATTAACCACACACCCTTAATTCACTTTGTGTAACATATCCATTTATAAAGCATAAACTAAAATAATATTACAGGAGCTTAAAAACTGCCACTGGGCCTAAATATCGCATCTGCAGCAAAACCGCAGGAATATAAGACCAGGCCGAAGAACTCACACAATGCGGTTGTTGTTCAGAAGCAGACACTTGAGTCTCTTGAGCAGCGGGAAGCCATCCAATTTGCGGATATCATTGTCTGAGAAATCAACCGTGTCGAACTGATCCTGTGAACCACCAACACAATTGTGAGCATGCGGCGTTTATTACTACTACAGCAAGCACTGCTAGCAGGATTCAAAGCTCTCACACTGTCAACAACACCAATGAACACAACCTAAGATCAGGTTCATTAACTACCAACCTCATAATCTACTTCCAAAAATTATACTGAAAGTCATCCTCCCCATCTCCTTCTCTATCTTCCTGCCAAAATCCTGCAAAGTTCTTTGTTCTACCTCCATTTTAACTATGTGACCAGCACATCTGAGGCCTCCCATATTTCACGACCCTAACAATATGAGGTACCGATGCAAATCATAAACTTCCTCACTGTGCAATATCCAAATCTGCTCATTCCATATTTCTTATGCAAGAATATTTTCAAAACACCTGCAATTGATGTCCTCCTTCAAGGCAAAATGATTGTTTTGTACATCAGCAACATTTCTGAAAGCAGATGGTATGATAACGTTTTATGAACCAAATAGTAACAAGCATTTCCAGAATTTGCACTTCCCTCGATTTTACTGATGTGCACCGTGACAGCTGTACACTATAAAATATCTACACTGTAGTCTTAGTCAATTCCAAACTGACCTGATGACAACACCAGATCAAAGCAATAACCCGGTGTGACGACAGAAGTGGTGTTACTGCGACACGGTTGTCAATATAATTTTATACAACGTCAATTAAGAGTAAAATGATTCATTGGGAATGGAACCAAAGATGACAATTAATGTCTCAGCATTTATGATCAGTACATGTCACAAAGCCTCAACTTCAATACAAGGAACAATGTTACATTTTAAATAACACACAGAAGTCTACACATTCCGCACTTTCCCCTAGAAGTGGAATTAACCACATTCACATTCTAGGAACAAAGATCCTGAACCATAAGAGTGGAGCCGACATTTCATTGATAGATAAGATTGTTCCAAAAATGAAACACTTTATTTCTTTTTAATAATCTCCGACTTATTTTTATTAGGCTTTTTTTAGCATTGTAGTTTTTTCTGACGGGTGAGGAGCTGGCCCACCGCGTCAACCCCCAACCTGGAGGACTGAGACCAGAATGGAACGACAGAATTACAAGAATCATGATAGAGTGGAAACTACCTCCGGAAGGATGGGAAAATAGAGAAGAATGGAAGAAAATATTAGGCACTGGAAGAACGAAGTAACGGTCAAGAAACGGAAGAAGAAGAGAAGAGAAGAGAATCTCTGACTCATGTTTCAGCAGAGAAAGTAGCTTTTGTACGTTGCTTCAACAGAATGCTCACTCACCAGTGTTGCTCCCATATTTTCTATAACTGGAATCTTGTAACCTGCAAAGAGCAACAAAAATATGCAAACTCTAGAAATATATAATTTCTGTCTAAGTAGGGCAGTTTGAAATGCAGATGCTTTGTTCTTCCCGCTAATAAGGGAGTCACTTAAGGAATTACTAGGAACAACTGGTGACATCTGTGTACAGGATTCATAAACTTGTGTCAAGGGAAATCTTTCATCTACACTTGGGATTACTAACACACAGGAAATAGACATGCTTGACATTCTGAATGCAAACATGCCTTCTTAACACACGCTGAATATCAATTATGCTGCCAGAAAGGAGGAAAAACTGGTAAAGCAGAGTAAACAACTAACTGTGTGTACAGTACCTGAACACCAATAAGTTAAACACAAAAATAATCCGGGAAAAGAACAGCAAATTAGCAATGTAAAAAAGTTTGTTTTTCGTCTACTTCCTCCTTCAGCTGAAGATCTTCCATGATTCAGCAGAAAAGGGAAAAAAGCCTTGGAGTGAGTAATTAACTTTTGTGCTTGATCACACCCACTTATTATAAAACAGTTCTCCTACATATGTATATTTTTCAGCATTGAGGTATGAGCCACATCGAATGTTTGACATGGTTGAAGTTATGCACTGAACCAACGACAGGAATTCTGCCACATACACTAATTCTGCTTTGTTGTCATTAAAAAACATGAAACTATGAACAATACTACATGTGTGTGTGGCCGGGTGTGCGTGCCTAAACAAGAACCTCAATTTAATGACAATATTCTGTGTAATTACCCGCATGAGTATGGTATGACAAACAGTTGTATTCAGTATGTCAGAATGGGTAATGTTACGCTAATAACTGTAAGTAAATCGACAGGTGGTACAGTACGATAGAATGGTGTAAGGTAAGTCTAATAACTGCAACTAATACTCAAATTCAGCAACAGCTGTATGTGGTACTGCATTGAAAACTTTCACTGAACTTCACAAACAGCTGGGTTCTCGATTTTGGTGTAAAACAAGGTTTGGTTCTTCCGCCATTTTAGAAGAGTTCCTGATTGTACAATACTACTTTCTGATCTCGTTATAAGCCACGTTAGGTCAAGATGATTTACGTAGTCTGTTTTTTACGGAAGATACTATGCGCCTGTTATTTCATTACTTCAACCAGCTCAAAATTACGTCAGTATTTTGCTGCACAAGGTATAGTGTTGACCGTCAAACATAACACTGTTAAATATATAGTATTTCATCTTCATAAGATCATATAACGTGATGGCCTTGCTACTACTGAGCATCACTTCAACAATACTGTTAAAGGTTAGAATAGCCACCAACACCTACCTCGCAGGTCTAATTCCCTATCTCTTACTGGATTTATATACTGCATAGATTGCTGTATTAAGTCTGGTGTTAATTTCACCATTTTTTACTTCTTCAATCAACAGCCAAAATAATTATGAAACCACGAACTACGAACAAACAGGCATACAACATAACACGTATCAAAGAAGCACAAATTTTTCATGGATGCTCTCACGACGACGCAATGCGTACTGCCGTGCCATCTCTGAATCAGAAGTATAAAATACTGAGCATGGTGTAAGTGGTAGCCCAATCGGTAAGAATCTACACCTCTTACACACAACGTCATTCCTCTCCAAGAACAATAAATTCATCATTCCAATAAATAGTTCTTAAACCTTGGTATTGAAGGAAAACTTTCTGTCTTTCGGGTAAATGTGAGTATGTAAGTGCATGACTTGTGTAATGTCAGATAAGAAGACAAACGTCTTCAGGGATGCACTATGGAGTCTGGTGTATGTTGACCAACGTTTCAGAGGAGCCTGGCGATGGAAATATTAAGACATTGGTCAAAAGCTACCACATTACTATGATGCTACTTCCTTATACTCATCGTTTGGAGAACCTGATATCTCAGAACGAAGAACAATGTTCTGGATTTTATAATAATGCCCAGTTTCCTATTAATCTGTAATAACAATACACAGATAACTACTTATATTACACCTGGTATTGGTATGTTTGACAATGGCTCTGAAATATGTAGATTAAATATATATCAATAAATAAAGTTACATTTATAATGAACGCCTAAAGTAGTGCCTATAACATGTAGAAACCTACTGTCGTATCACCTTCTTCAGAAAAGACATACAAAGTTGCATGTGTCATGAGAAATGAACTATAGAGTAGCTAAACTACATCCACTTCTGTAAAAAGAATATAATGGGAAACCCTTGTATCTCACTCTTCTCCTTAGCCACCAAACGTAAGTTAACTTTAGCACCCAGGTTGGTGCAACACCTGGTGTGCATTCCCTCCCTTTTGTATCATAACAGGTGTGCGCAATGTGCTTGCATTTCAATACTTATGAAATCTGGCCAAAGTAGAAGATTTTTGACTCTTAAAGTTTATATTTTTTTACAGTAGAGGTGAGGAAAGTTGGTACACATTAATATGACTAATAGTTCCAATACCATATTCGTTCAAATCAGTTATTTAATGGTTATGGTGTTATACGCAGTATTAATTGGAAAGGTTATAGTGGTGAACCTTCTACTGTGGCCAAAGGTACAGAGTACAAGCAGATATGTGCTTAACTTTGGGAACAATTTTTATCTTGTAGTTTAATTTAAATTTCTCCAATTTCTTAGATGCCATAGAGTGAGAGGGTCACAAGTGACCAACAATCAATGAGGTTAATCTTTTTCAGGACACGCCAGTTCCTTCTTTTTACCTCTTTCTCCCAACTCTCGTGCTACTGCGAGAACCGAGACCCAAGGGATAGTACAATTATTAGCCATCTGTAATATCACAACACTCAATAATCGGAAGGCAATGGTTCACATTTTCACTGTCTTTATTCCAGATAAAGCACCTTATTATTCCGGACAGGTTAACAAAGTAAACACTCAAGACAATGGTTATGATATACCACAACTACCGCATATAATGTGGACTTACAAATACATTATCAAAAGAAATTGCCTTCCAACACACAAAAAGTAAGAGAAGGGATATGAAGTGATGGGAAAAAACAAAAGAATTAGAATCAGGGGCTGAACTTCGTGTTCTCATGGAGTGATCAAATAGAGTTCACATATAACACAGTAATAATTAAATTTACTAATTCAGTTTCTGTCAATTCTATATTATTGTAAGTTAACAAAATGCATCTTTAAAGCCAATTATTATTATTATTATTATTATTATTATTATTATTATTCATATTCAATGGTAGACAAAGAGAGTACAGGAACTGATATAGCATGAAAATCCCTTAAGAGCTTCCATTATGTTAGTAATATTTAAATTATGAATGAGCAATACAATCATGTTATCTGGAGTTCCCTACAAACATCAAACACTCTCATGGCTCAAACCCTTGACATCAATAAAACAGGACTTTCACCCTCACAGTGGACTGAACTGAACATCATAATCACAGAAGTGTCATTCCTCTAGTGAATGCAATGATTTTATCCTCTCACGTACTGGAAAATATATACACATATATTTTGTTATCTTTCTCATTACAATTTATATAATTACTTGTGAAGGAAGTGTCACACAATGCACATGAAGAGACTTACAGTGCTGAGTTGTCTGCTATAAACAGAGACACATATAAAAGTATCCTGCCACAAATTTCTGTTAAAAAAACAAATATTTTTTATTCTGAAAGAAGCTGTCAATGGTTTGAGGTCAGTCAGTATAGTGACTACCCATGGGCTGGATGACTGGGGTTCGATCCCCAACAGGGCAGAGAATTTATTTCATGCATAATCAAAATGTAGAATAGCTGCATTGTATTTTTGGTGGTCAATTAAGAAGAGCTTAAGTGAACATAAATTACATTTCACTTACGCCCTTCCTACTGAGCACCAAAGATGAATTCTGGTCCATATTTCATGTAACAAAGATTTAAATGTTATACTGAAAGACAGATGCATGCACATTCAAAGATGAAACACACAATCTTCACTATTCTCATTATCACGTAGGTAGCCAGACAACTACAACGTGATGCACAACATAAACAACAAATTATTTCAGAGCAATTTAGTAGAGTCGATTCAAAATTTTAGACTCTTTTAAAGGCACACTCTAAGCATATGCAGAAAGAGTATATGAAAATAATGACTATCACATTTAGGTATGCAGAAATGTTATAAATTCTCGGAAAAGGATGAAGGTTACTTTAAATATATATTTTAACAGAATATTGAAAATATGTTATTAAGACTACATTAAAACTGTCACATACAAACTTATGATACTCAGAAATGCACCCTGTGTTAATGCACATAAATAATTTGTAAGTCGACTACTTCATCCCATTCCGCATTATTCCGACGGCATGGTGCCACGAACAACTACGCCCAGAAAGTACAGGATTCATACGAAGAAATGATGACTTCACTGTCACATCCAATGAAAACAAACCACTGACAAAATCACAGTTTTTGGTTGTAGCCTTCAGAGTCAGCATCATAAACCACAATCAAAATTTTCACGACCAACAAAACACAAAATGTTATCTAATAAAGACGATGTCTCCTCATGTAACTCTACATGAAACCTCTGTAAAAATTTAACTATTGAGACCACATAATACACAAAAGCGATTTTATCAGTGGTTTGTTTAGAAGCAAAAGACTTCTACCCACGTCACAGCTCACGTCACAAGGACACTGACAAGTGACATCGCCGATAAAACACAATGCTGATATCACAGTACAGTCACTTGCCAACAGAAGTTGTCACTGACAAGTACATCTCAACTCACTATCACGGTCTGCGAGTAGCACGCGTCGGTAGCATTTGGTTGTAGCGTGTCCCCTACAGAACATTCGCACATCACTTGCCCACGCCATTCACAAACGCTCTGTGCCGCGGCTCGGCCGTGTAACTGCTGGGCGGGGCATCGTGTTCCTGGTAGAGTCCGACGTGGCCGTTTAGTTTCTGCTGCTCGTTGAGTTGCTCAATGGCTTTCTGCAAAGACAAAAAATTCAGCCACTATATGAAAATGCTGTTAGTCCGTGTTCTGGGTAGAAATGTAATTAAACCCCTGTCTTGTATTTTGGTATGAAACAAACTACCCCCTGAATTTTCACACTGCCACTCACACACATGTTCACTTGTATTTGTAATGAAAGAGCAGACAAAAACAGTTCCTGTCATCTGAGCATTGTGTCACATGGAAGATGTCCAGAAAGCATTACGCCTATTCTTGTATTTCTTACTTTTCTTGCTGCCCTCTTTTTGTATGTTTGCTTGTAGAAGTCTGAGAAGAGGAAGTAGAACATCACTGCATGAAGACCGATCCACCAAACGAAGGCCTTGGGGTAGTTGCAGTCAATGAAAAGCAGCTGGAAGGCATGGACCATCACGAGTATGAACTGGACCTGAGGGAACATTATAACTTTGTTGTTACATAGTCATTAACCGCATATATTTATTGTGTTCCCAATTAAGATCAGAATTACTTTTAAGTAAATGATAATATGCATATTATTGTTTATAAGAATG